TGCATACGTACCTACAACTTTTTTTGTTTTATCCATGGAGTAGGTAAACTATCAGCTGAAGCAGAGCACGTATGTGTTTTATATGATCTAGGTGTTTGATATATACACACAGACACATAATCATATAAGTTATAAACTTACATATTTATGGCTATAAAATCCAGATTTTATTGATATGTTACGTGTGTAGGGGGTGTCTATATGATAATTTTTGAGATCTTTCACTTGAGATCTGATGATAGTAAGAGTCAAGCTGAACCAGTACTCTAAAATGTTTTGGCTGCATGGCACTATATTTTAGAAACAGAGAAACATTACACTTTTATGATTAACTTTATCTATGATGCTTGCTTTATTTTCATAAAACAAGACTAAATGTTCCCATTTGGTCCTGTGGTTACTTTTTTTTTATTATCAAAGCCCCACACTGTTAAGAATATTATTTTACAATATTCAACTAGAACTTTTTTTTTGTTTCCTAGTCTTTGAGGATGTTCAGGTATTGTGTTCAAAGAATTTGCAGATATAAGTGAACTTTTAAATAAATTAATTGCTTGCAGTGCTTTGCAAATGTATAATTACATCAAGGACTTCATAAACTGCAAGCCTAATGAAATTATTGCCATGTAATTTTCTGTAGGTTGTTTAAATTCTCTGTAATTTGTTTCCATTAAATTTCTATAACCCAACACTCTGTAAGTTGTCTGTAATGCTATATTACATGTAGTACATGTTTTAAACGTATAGTACATGTTTTAATGTAGCCAAAGAAGCAGTGGGACAAACATAAATACATCTTCACCTAAGCTATTCTGGCATAGCCATAATTTCTATTTAAATAAATATAAATTTGCATTATTGATTATAGTTATCCCTCAGTGTCCAGGGGGAGTTGGTTTCAGAACCCCACAGATACTAAAATCTTCAATGACCAAGTCTCCTATATAAAGTGGAGTAGTATTTGCATATGACATATGCACATTCTCCCACATACTTTAAATCATCTCTAGATTACTTATAATACCTAAGACAATGTAAATGCTATATAAATAGTTGTTGTATTGTTTTCATTTGTATTGTTTTTTATTGTTGTATTGTTATATTTTATTGTTTTGTTTTGTTTTTTTACAGTGGTTGAGTCTGCAGATGCGAGATTCGCACATCTATAGGGCCCACCGTAAATTGAAGACAAAATTTTAAATAATTGAAGACATAGAGCTCTATCAAAGATGAAACAAAGAAACAAAGCTCATTCACAGGTACTGAGTAAATTTTTTAAAGGCACAAAGGGGCTTCCTAGAAATCTTTCTTTCTGGTTATTTGAAAAGCATTTACAGTGACTTTTTTTTTCTTCAGGATGATATTTTAAATATTATGGGTAAAGGGAGGGCTTACAATTTTCAAGAAACTCATTATTCATATGTAATAATGTTTGTAAACTCAATTTACAAATAACCTTTACCAACCTTTATGTTTTATAATATATATTGCATTGTAAAACATGTGTATTTTATATATAATGCATAATAAAACAAAAGCTTTTACAATACCTTATATTTTTATAATGCATATGTATTGTTTTGTAATACATATATAGTGCATTATAAAACATTAGGAATGGTAAACATTGTAAATTCAAATTTTGAAAAATGAGATATTTCAAACATGCTTTGCAAGAAAAGAAAGCAGAAATAAAACTTTACGATTATCAACACACATTGGAAGTGTTTCCAAGGATGGAGTGCTAAGAGGGAGTTATTAGTAAATATATGTCTGTTGTGATTAAAAATGCAGAACCTGACAACAATTTTAAAATCTGGCTCCACCACTTACTATGTGTGTGACCTTTGGCAAATCAATTAACTTCTCAGTGTCTCTGTTTTCTCACCTTAAAATGGAGGCAATAGTTTACCTCATATTAGGATGAGCTAAGATGCCATCCAGTAACAATCAACCTCCAAAACCCAGTGACTTACACAACAAATCTTACTTCTCACCAGTACAAAGCTTACCATAGTTTCACACAGATCTCCAGGGCAGCCATAATCCTTCAGTTGGCTCAACATTCCAGGCTGCTTGAATCTCATAACATCTTCATATTGACAAGAGCTTCCACGCTATCATAGCAGAGAAAGAAAGTGGAGAATCCCAGCGTCAGCTCTTACAGGCTTCCACCTTTTATTGATGACAATGTTGATTATTGTGAAGTAGGAAAAAAAGGAAATTAAGATAAAGTTAACCTGAACTTTTAATGAATTATATCATCCAATTTTAGAATTGGGAAGGTCTCTAAAAAGAATACAGTCAAGCCACTTTATTTTATAGATGCAGAAGCAGACACCCAGAGAAAGTTTAAGAATTTTTGCCCTAGGTTACCCATCCAGCAACAGCAGAGTCTGGAGTCGAATTCAGAAATGTCTCTTAGATCCCTACTGGCTGCATTTCCACTACCAACCTTTGGAATTGTGCTAAACCCTCTTGCCCCTTTTGCAATATCCTAGAGACCAAGGCAACATGGTGGTTGTGTCCCTTTTCCAAATTTATGTTTAATGGAAAACCCAGAAATGATGGTAACAATAGGGGCAATGTTTCCAGGCCTGAACAATACCAATTGCAGTAGCTATTATTAATTTATATTTGTTGAATTTAACAATGTGATGCTTACTGTCCAACCAAACTGATAATCCAGGATTAGATACCATATTGAAGAATAATATTTTTGCCATGATAAGAAAGAATAAGGTCTGTGAGAAGAGGCAAAATGGCATGCTGCAGCACTTTGAAAATGTTCAAAAATCAGGTCTGTTTATCATTATGCTTTCTGAATCAACATTATTTTAAAGTGATTTTATCCCAGCCCCTCTTACACTGCACTGCAGAGTCTATTACCATCAGTAGGGAGAGCTGGAGTGCCAAGCCAGCTGTTACATGTGATTTTTGTTTCCATTTGCTAAGTGAAGAAAATCAAACAATCGACTTGTCAAGAAAAGTGAAACAACTACTGTGTTTATTGAAGGGTGTGGCTGGCAATGACTAATACAATTATTTTCCACTTGAACAGATTCAGGTTCAAAATGTAGCTCAGTTATTTCTAAAGTAAAAGGAATGATAACGCTTCTTTTACCATTTCCATTCATTTGCATCATTACCATCTCAGTGTTTCCCTTTCCCTTCCTCTGCTTCTCTTCAGACCTCCAGCGCTGTGTTGTGGAATGCAGCCACCAGGTCACAAGTCTGAGCTGAGGAGGAACGCTACCCTAAACATCCTGCAAAATGCCCCACCAGTATGACTGCTGTCAGTTACCTCTGCTAAGCCACTCATCTTGCAAAACTGACAATTCCAAGATGCAACTATACTATGCAACACCCCGAACACTCTGAATAAAAATATTTTTTGTAGGATGACCTTTCCTTAGGCCCTGTATAATGTCATCTAACCTTATGAACAACTCGAAATATCATTTATTCAAATGTCAGCCTGCTTACTTGACAACATCAACAGAAAATAGAGTTGTAAATAAATGTCTAAAGCTAGTATAACTCTATCCAAAGGTTCTGCATAATCTTGTTTATTGTAATGAGGACCATAATGACATTCTTTTTTTGTACTGTTTGTGCATGAATCTACATAGGGGGTTTTTATATATTTTTTTTTTTATTGTGGTAAAACATATGTAAGGATTGCCATTTTAAGCATTTTTAAACATACAGTTGTGTGGAATTAGTTACATTCACAATGCTGTGCAACCATTACCTCTATCTATTTACAAAACTTTTTCGTCATCCTAAACATAAACTCTGTACCCATTAAGCAATAACTTCTCATTATTTGTTACCCCCATTTCTGGTAACCTTGAATCTACTTCTGTCTCTGGAATGTTTTTCTTTTAATTTATTTTTTCTTAATTGACCCATGAAAATAGTATATATTTATGAAGTACAATATGATATTTGAGTACATTTATATAGTGTGCAATGATCATATCAGGGTGTTTAGCATATCCATCACCCCAGACATTTGTCATCTCTCATGTTGGGAACATTCAACATCCTCTAACTAGTTTCTGAAGTTACCCAGTAATGTGTTGTTCACTGTAGTCTCTCTATATTGCTATAGGACACAGATCTTATTCTTTTTCTCTACAACTTTGCATGCATTGGCTATGATGAAATTTTTAAGTACAATATTCTTTAAAAGAAATCTGGTACAGTCTATTCTTATGAATGGTATTGATGATATTTTTCCTCCAATGGATTATGAAGTAGGGAAGTCTAGATAAGAATAAAGGCAGCCCCTTAGTTATTGGAGTAGCTTAGACCTCTCAAAGGTGATATTTGTAGTTTACTTCAAGACTGAGCAAGTATTTGGGCTAGTTTTATATGTCAAAACCAGAGGGGAAGGCTTAGCAAGACACTGTTTCTTGCTTCCAATGAGGCAGCCTGAGAAGATATGCATCATTTCGCTCATTCACTGAACTCCCCTCCCTTTGTTTCCTGTCTCTCCTGCTTGGAGCTGACTCCTCCTTCCTGCAGCTTGGAGGATCACAGGCTGATGAAGAACACCGCACCGCGGCTGGGATGGGAGTCTGTGCTCAGGCTTCCTGGAAAGGCGCTCTCTTTCTCTCAGCCAGCAGAGCTGAAACCTACCTGACAATCTCTCTGCCTTTGAATCCATCTCTGGAACCAAATGCACCATTTTACTGCTCTTAAAAGTGAATAGTGTTTGATTACCTCAAGCTACAAGCTGCTTTGCTTCATAAGAAAGACCCAAACGGATCCAGACATCATTGCTTTCCAGTCCACCTGAGGAGTTTTTTGCTTTCTTGCCTGAAACTTGATGGTGGGAGGGAGTTTCGGATTTGTTTGTTTTTGATTGTTGAAAAGTTTCTTATTGATGCTTGAAATGGAACTCAGTTTTTAAATACAGTTTGAATCAGATCCAAAGAAGACCTGCCTGACCATTTCCTGCAGGACTGACGGAGACAACATCTAGAGGGAAACTTGGTAGGAGAAATGAGATGCGATTTGCAACAGCAACGCTTTATTTTGAGAAAATTGTCAGACTCATTGAGAAGGAAAATTAAATATTGACCAAGGACAATGTCTTTATTTCTCAGTAACTTATCAACAAATGACTGTAACCTGTGGAAAGAAAATCACAATTCTACGGACCTTTCAAATCCACCAGGAACTCTGAATGTCTATCTTTTTTGCCTGACATGTTTAATGACTTTTGCAGCCCTGGCGGGCAGCATTTATTCACTAGCTTCCCTTCTGAAAATGCAGAACAGAACAGTTGTGTCCATGCTGGTGGCTTCCTGGTCTGTGGATGATCTTATGAGCGTCCTGTCGGTGACCATCTTCATGTTTTTGCAGTGGCCAAACGACTTCCCCGGCTACTTCCAGTCTCTGTGCTCCACCTCTGCCTTACTGTATCTATGCCAGGGCCTCTCGAGCAACTTGAAGGCGACTCTCCTAGTCTCCTACAACTTCTACACGATGCACAGGGCTGCGGGGAGCCAGGCAGCCTGCAGAAGCCCGGGCCAGGTGCTCGGCGTGGCGCTGAGCGTGTGGGCAGCCAGCCTGCTGCTGTCGGCGCCCCCGCTGTGCGGCTGGGGCGGCTTCGTGCGCACGGACTGGGGCTGCCTGGTGGACCGCTCCAGCTCCTACGTGCTGCTGCTCTTCTCCGTGTACGCTTCGGCCTTCGGACTCCTCGCCGGCCTCTCGGTCCCGCTCATTCACCGGTTGCTGTGTTCGGAGGAGCCGCCGAGACTCCACGCCAACTACCAGGAAATCTCCCGTGGAGCCTCCACTCCCGGGTCCCCTCGCACGGGGGGGAGAGTGCTCTCCCCGTCCCCGGAAGATGCTCCGGGCCCGGCCCTGCGGTGCTCTGGGGGCTGCTCCCCGAGCTCGGACGCTGCGTTTGGACCGAGTCGACCCGCTTCCTCTGGGGCTGGAGCCTGCGGGCGTGGACACCGGGGGACTCTTTATGGCACCAGGAGATTCGCCGTGAGCGTAGCGCAGAAGCGCTTCTCTTTGATCCTAGCTCTGACAAAAGTCACCCTTTGGCTGCCCATGATGGTAAAAGTGCAGTTGCTCACAATGCGCGCGTGTGTGTGTGCCAGACAGTGTGCGTGCGTGTTGGGACCAGCGTCGCTGGTTGGGGAGTCACCAGGGGACGCGCAGTTAAGTCCGCTTCGAAGTGTACCTCGCTCGGTTTCAGAGACGCACTTGGGGGAAGGCAGTTCGCCGGCAGGGCTAATTGGCCGCGAAGCCTGTGCCGCAAAGTGCTTCTCGTTTCAAAATTGAGGGGGATGCGGATCGCTTTCGGTCGAGGGCGACTTAGTTTTCCTAGATCTGGAGTGGCCAAGGGCATTCTTGTCTCTCAGTAAAACCGGAGTATTCAGAAAAGGAGGAAATAAAAAAGGTCCTCACCCCACCCTTGGGCCCTCCCTTTCTCTCCGCTCCCTTGCTGCCTGGCGAGGACACTGCCCATCCCTAGCAGGAGAGGATAGATCAGATGTAGAGAGAGAAGACAGGGGACAAAACAGGCTTTTGTTC